TTTTTTTTTTTTAATGTATTTTTGAGAGAGACAGAGAGGCAGACAGAGAATCCTAAGCAGGCCCCACACTGCCAGTGCAGAGGCTGACATGGGGCTTGAACTCACGAACAGAGGAGAGGCAGAGAGAGAGAGAGAGAGGGAGAGAGAATCCCAAGCAGACTCCACACTGTCAGCACAGAGCCCAATGCGGGGCTCTAGCCCAGGAACCAGGAGATCATGACCTGAGCCGGAACCAAGAATCCCATGCTCAACCAACGGAGCCACCCAGGTGCCCCTTGGTCAAGCTTTTTAATCAAGCCTCGAGATGGAGCTTCGCCAGGGTAACTCCCTACAGATCCAATTTTGACAACAAGCGGCATTGAAACCGTAAAAGAAACATTAGCTATGAAATACAGTGGTTTGGAGGGCAGCTGCCAAACCCTTCGCTTTTGCGTCTCGAGTGAATGTTGAGATTTTTTTTCTTTTTTAAAAATTATTTTTAAGGTATTGACTTTGCCACTCGTAAGATCGCCAAGTTGCTGAAGCCACAGAAAGTGATTGAGCAAAATGGGAATTCTTTTACCATCCACACATACAGCAGCCTGAGGAACTACCTTGTTACGTTTACAGTTGGAGAAGAATTCGAGGAAGAGAATAAAGGCCTGGATAACAGAAAATGCAAGGTAAAAGAAGTCAAGTGATAACCTAGGCCCTTGATTTGGCGAGATTAACTCCGCGTCCTGCTTAGGACCACTTTGAGGACACTGCCAGAGCAAGCCAGCATTTTCTCCCCTCTCTCACGCAGAGCCTGGTCACCTGGGACAGTGACAAACTCACCTGCGTCCAGAAGGGGGAAAAGAAGAACAGAGGCTGGACCCATTGGATCGAAGGGGACAAACTCCACCTGGTGATTGCCACCTTTCATTCTTATGATACAATATTAAAGCACGACAGCAACCCCACCATTCTAATCCACCATTTGGGTTTTTTTTTTTTTTTTTTTGAATGTTTGTTTATTTTGGTGGGGGAGGGGCACAGAGAGGGAGAGTGAGAGAATCCCGAGCAGGTTCTATGCTCATCGCAGAGCCCGATGCGGGGCTTGATCCCACAACCCTGGGATCATGACCTGAGCATATATACATACATATACATATATACATATACAATAAGGGAGTTACTGGCTGCTTGCTTAATATTCCATCAGGTCGGTGAATTATCATTTTTGAAAAACATTTCCTTAATTTCAGTGTCCAGGGTATTGTTTCAGGTTGTTTTCTGCTACTGCTTTTTTTTTTTTTTAAGTTTATTTTTATTTAGAGAGAGATAGAGAACAAGCGGGAGAGGGGCAGAGAGAGGGAGGGAGACAGAATCCCAAGCAGGTTCCCCACCGTCAGCTCAGAGCCTGATGCGAGGCTCAAACTCACAAACTGTGAGATCACGACCTGAGCCAAAGTCAAGAGTCGGATGCTGAATGGACTGGGCCGCCCAGGCGCCCCTGCTATTGCTTAAATTCATGTAAATAGAGCTTTTTTGCATCCATGGGTTTATTTCCTTCGGAAGAATTCACAGAGAGGATCCTGGTCAGAGGCACACACATCGTTGCCTCTTGCTACCCCATTGCCTTACTTCCAGAAGAGTGTGTCAATCACCAATGCCCCCAGCACTCCATGAACGGGCAAGTTCTAGCTCAAGCTATTCAATAATTTCTAAATATAATTTAGAAGGCATAAAATTGTACATCAAGGATTGATCATGGCTTTGTAAATGAGAATTGCTTCCTGCTATGTATATTATAATCGCTGACATTTCTTGAGTCGACTTTGTGCTCAACTACTGTGCTAAATCCTTGCATGTCTTATCTCACTTGGTCTTTAAGACAGTCCTGTGAAAGGGACTCTATTTTTCCCATTTACAAATGAAGAGATTCAGATTTAGAAACTCTCCATGGCTGGTGAGTAGCGAGTCAAATCCAGGGCTGACAAAAATGTATGCTTTCAACTCTATGCCTTTTTGCCTTAATGTATGTGAGATCTTGGACAGAACCGTGGAAACAAAATTAGAGCACTTATGTTAAAGTTAGGTGTGTCTTTGAAGGTCTGGATAGTCTTTGATCGCACAGACACTGAAGATATTTTGATTCTTGGGGCACCTGGCTGGCTAAGTAGGTAGGAGCAGGTGACTCTTGATCTCGGGGTTGTGAGTTCATGCACCACATTGGGTGTGGAGATTACTTAAAAAAAAAAAAAAGATATTTTGATTCTAGATTGACAAATCTGGCATTCTTCTGACGATAAAATCAAAATTAAGACACTTGCCATCACAAAAATGTAATATGGAACTACAAAGAAAGACAAATATGTTTGAGGATATAGGTTAGTTGACTGTAAGAGGTAATGTGCAAATTGCATGCATCCGTCCTTGACATAACTCTGCCCAAGCAGAGGAGAGAAGGGTCCTTGCTCTAAGGACACTCAGAGGACAATTCTTACATGCTGTGATAGAACACAGAATCAATATTTGGTCTTGGTGTCTGGTTCCTAAAACCCTTGGGATCTCCAGAGTAATGAGTGTCCTCTGTAGGCTAATGAGATGACTGGGGGCCGGGGTCTCCCAGATGGCCGAAGATTTATCAGTCATGCCTACGTAAGGAAACCCCCACAAACACCCCTAAATGAGAAAGGTTGGAGAGCTTCCTAGTTGGTGAAAACATCGACGCACTGGGAGAGTGGGCCCCCTGAAGGGCCCGTGGAAGTTCCGCACACACACCCCCCATCCTGTGTCCTATGCACCTCTCTACTTGGCTGTTCTTGAGTTGTATCCTTTATAATAAAGCTCTCCATAGAGAGAGATAGAGAACAAGCGGGAGAGGGGCAGAGAGAGAGGGAGACAGAATCCCAAGCCATTTCTGTGAACCGTTCTAGCAAATTCCTGACCCTGAGGAATGGGGTGTGGGAATCCCCATTTAACAGCTGCTCAGTCAGAGGTTTGGGTGGCTGGGGACTGGGTGTTTGATGTCTAAAGTTGGGGCAGTTTTGGGAGGCCGAGCCCTTAACCTGTGGGGTCTGCACTAGCTCTGGGTCGTCGGTGTCAGAATTGAGTTGAATTGTTGGACACCCAGTTGGTGTCACCGAGCTGGAGGAGCAGGGTCGGAAGAGACACCCCAGCCCTGCTGTCAGAAGTGCTGTGAGTAATAATAATCAATAGCCCACATGCCAACTCATCTTTCTTCTCCCCTTCCCCTTTCCCTAGGAAATGTTCTGTGAAGGCCAAGTGTGCAAACAGACTTTCCAGAGAGCCTGAGCTGTCTCCGTCCCCAGAGCCCACGTGTGACAGCAGCCTTAATGGTGACTCCTCTTCCCAAATGAACAGATGTTACTCTGTCCGGGTTTGGCGACGGGAACTTGTGGTCAGGGAGACGCCTCACCACCTGTCCCCGAAGCCATTTACTCAGATTGTGGGAAAACTGCTCAGTTTCAATAAACCTGTCCAACGACTCTGACTTTTTCCTTCTAGATGTAGCGTGTGCCATTATTTTAAGAAGTATTTGAAAACCTTCCAGGCGCACCACGGACACACCAATGAACAGGATGTAATTCCGTCTCCAAGGGCTCATGGGGAAAATGGACAAGCGAGCCGTCTGAATAGCGGTGATCAGCACAGGCTGCCCTGAGAGCCCGGGAGGGGATGGGCCAGTGGTGGCAAGGGGCAGGGGTGGCGGAGGGGCGGAGACCGGAAGCGCAGGTAAGCAGGAAGCATCGGGAAGCCTTCTAGGTGAAAGGCTGGGGTGAGGGGAGGGATGTTTGAAGACCCGAAACATTGCTTCCCCTGCAGCGTGGGGGTATGTGGGCTGAGTGCGAGAGATGCCACAGGAGCCTGGGAGGCAGGCAGCGGCCCTATCGTGACGACTCTCGAATGTCGGGTTACAGAGGGAAGATGTGTCCCCCAAAGCGACAGGGTGGCGGTTGCTGGCACTAAGCAGAAGATCTGCGCGGCCAGGCTGGCTCACAGAAGGAACTCTGACTACAGTTGGAAGAAGGGGCTGTGGGCGGGGCTTGCAATTTGGGAGGCAGTGCTAGAAAGTGCTGCCGGCAATCCGGGTGTGAGATGGTGAAGGTCAGGAACACCTGGGGCCCAAGTCTCAAATACAGTGAATGGACTGGGGGCTGGAGAGAAACAGCTAATTATTTACGACACCGAATCCATAGTCCAAAGTGGTGGATGACCTGTAGGGATGACGGAGGAGGAGGAAGATGGCCTGTTTGGGGTTCAGGAAGCTGTAGGAAGGAAGGTCAAGGCCAACTGGAAAGAAGGCAACACAGGGGCGCCAACACAGGATGGCTCAGTCGGTTAAGCCTCTGGCTCTTGGTTTCAGCTCAGGTCTCATGGTTCGTGGGATTGAGCCCCACCTCAGGCCCTGTGCTTGTTAGTGCGGGGCTTGCTGGGGATTCTCTCTCCTCTCTCTCTCTGCCCATTCCTCCCTCCCCTTTCTCAAAGTAAATTAATAAGCATTAAAAAAAGAAAGAAGGTAACACAATCAGAAGAATGAGGTCTGGATTTTGAAGTGCTGTGCCCAGTACAAGCCAGGCTGTCAGGAGATGATGTCAAGCATATAAACTATACATATGGATGAGACTGTGCTGGACATTGGGTGCGTGTGTGTGTGTGTGTGTGTGTGCGTTTTAAGATTTTATTTATAAGTAATCCCTACACCCAACATGGGGCTTGAACTCACAACCCTGAGATCAAGAGTCGCACGCTCCCCCGACTGAGCCAGCCAGGCGACCCGGGGACACTGAGTTTAAAGTGAGAGAGGGGTGCCCGGGTGGCTCAGTCGGTTGGTCGTCTGCTTCTTGGTTTTAGCTCAGGTCGTGATCTCGTGGCTCGTGGGTTCAGGCCCTTCATCAGGCCCCGTGAAAGCAGCGTGGTTCCTACTTGGGGTTTCTCTGCTCCTCTCTCTGTGCCCCTCCCCTGCTTGAGCTCTCAAGATAAATACATTTTATAAATTTTTTTTTTTCAATGTTTATTTTATTTTTGGGACAGAGAGAGACAGAGCATGAACGGGGGAGGGGCAGAGAGAGAGGGAGATACAGAATCGGAAACAGGCTCCAGGCTCTGAGCCATCAGCCCAGAGCCCGACGCGGGGCCCGAACTCACGGACCGCGAGATCGTGACCTGGCTGAAGTCGGACGCCCAACCGACTGCGCCACCCAGGCGCCCCGATAAATACATTTTAAAAAAAGAGCTAAAGTGAGAGAGAAGCCTGAGATACAAAAGCTGCGAGAAGGGGGGACAGAGGGGCGGCACCAGGGAAGCGAGGGCGGGGAACGTTTCAGGGCAGACGCAGTGAAGGGCCCCGGATGAGATGGCCTAGGCGGCCAGAAGGCAAGCAGCAGTGGGACCGGCGCTGGGCCAGCACACCAGGAGCGTGGGACCAGAGGAGGTGAGTGAGTATAGACAGTGTTTGGCCGACGAGTGGAAGGAACATGGGGGTAGTTTCAGGGAGTCTTGCAAGGGAGTAACTAGTCCCTGGATCACCAAGTCTATGCAGGAGAAGGAAAGTCAGCAGAGGACTAATGTCCACTGAGCGCCTACGATGCGCTAGGCTCTAAGCTGGGCTTTAGGGCTCCGAGAACAGCTGAGTAAAGGTCTATGCCTGGAAGGAGCTGGCAGTGTGCAGGTAATGACAGACTTCAGTGAGACATTAAAGTCCGGGTATCAGATGTCACTCTTGCTCCAACTAACAGAAACCAGCTTGTTAGTTTGACCCTTAGACACGATGACATCAGGGGCCCCTGGCTGGCTCAGGCAGTTAAGCGTCTGACTTTGGCTCGGGTCATGATCTTGCAGTCCGTGAGTTTGAGCCCCGCATCAGGCTCTGTGCTGCCAGCTCAGAGCCTGGAGCCTGCTTCAGATTCTGTGTCTTCCTCTCTCTCTGCTCCCCCTCTGCTTGTGCTCTCTCTCAAAAATAAATGAACATTAAAAAAGGAAAGAAAGAAAAGGAAGGAAGGAAGGAAGGAAGGAAGGAAGGAAGGAAGGAAGGGTGACTTCAGAGCCAGAAAAAGTTAGAAGATTGTCAGTCCAATGAGCTATTGTGACCCCACCAAACAGAAAGACTATGAAATTGTTTCAGGGTAGAATCAGGTAGTAAGTGGATTAGCTGACGTTGTAGATCGACATCAGATTTGAGAATTGCGTGATGAGTAATCTGAATGGGGGGGCGTGGGCTGTGAGGGCTCCCCTTTGTGGAAATCTCCTGCTCCCTAACATAACGGCTCTGCCTGGAGGCCACGAGAGACGGTCGGCTCTTGTGGGAGGCAGAATTTTATCAACATTTGTGAATTTATCCAAATACGAACAAATGTGCAAATGCCCGGAATTTGGCAGGGAACAAAATGAAAAGTTTCTCCGCTCCTGGACCTTCCATTCCCATGGGAGGAGGAGATTATAAACATAAGTTAAAAATAGAGTGCATCACATAGTGGTAAGAGCTACAGAAAAATAATACCTCAGGATGTTGGTGGTGACCTTCAAGTAAGATGGTTAAGAAGGACTCAGAGGGGCGCCTGGCGGGCTCAGTCAGTTAAGCGTCCGGCTCTTGATTTCAGCTTGGGTCATGATACCAGGGCTCTGTGCTGAGCATGGAGCCTGCTTGAGATTCATATTCTCTCTCTCTCTCTCTCTCTGTCTCTCTCTCTCTCCCCCCCATCCCTCTCCCCTGTTTGCACATGCTCTCTCCC